CATAAAGGCTCGGATGTGCATGATGTCAACGCATCAAGATATACTTTGCAGGAGTACATCAATGCCGTCAAGGAGAGGGACGTCTTCCCATCCGTTTTATGGACAGGAGAATCCGGATTTGGGCCAGACGCCTTGTTTTTTCTAGACATGTCGGAGGGAGATGGAGGTGGTCAAGGACAAGTCTCAGAGACTGACACTGCTTACTCTACCTCGCAGCTTATTCCCGTTCTCGTGCAAGTTAAGACAAGTAAGACGCTTGACCAGGTAAGCAACATTGTCATCTTTTGATGTAATTGGACTTTTTTCTTTTATTGTAGGGTACTGTCAATAATGCTTTTTATACCTTGGATCTGAACAAGCTTTTCCAACACAAGAGTACACTGACCCCAACTGAAGTCGCTGGTGCTAACTCTCTTCGAGAGTTAGCTTGTAATGGGTGTATTAAACTCGTGGTTTCTACAGACTTCGTCAATCTGGAGCAGCAGCTATGTAACTTCTATTTGAGGGAGGAAGCATGCAGCAGTCAAGCTTCTATTAAAAGAGGTGAAAAGAAGGATCTCGGCACAAAAGCTTTGCTTGGTGTTATTGGTAAAGATAACATTTTAGCTTTTGTTGATTCATGGCTGTTTGAAGCGATGTTTGTTCCTAAAGATGCAATTTGAGTAATTATTACAAAATACATTATATGTATTTTTTCCTTTCTGTTCTGAAAAGACTTCTTGGGCCCCACTTTTAGTGGGGAGCCACATTGCCATTGCCATTGCAAATGTCTTTTTTTATCACTCACTGGCAATTGCCCAGCAAATGCTGGGTGGTTGGCAAATTTCATGCCAACCATACCACATTTCCCATCACCATGGGCCAGAGAATGTGCTGGTGGACATGTATGGTAAGTGTGGAAGCCTTGAAGACGCACTGACTGTCTTTTAACTCCATGAAGAAATGCAACATTGTTTCATGGACTGCAATGATCACTGCTTATGCTCGAAACGGCCATAGCTCCAGAGCTCTCAAGATCTTTCGCATGGTTCTCACTTGAGATCCAGCGCTGCAAGCTTGTCACTGTCTGAGTAGCAGTAAAGCACGCCCTTGGACACCACCCCGTGCACAGTGATCCAAGCTCTGTACACGGCCATGCCACGATCTCCCCTCCAAAGAAGCATCCGATCGTGCCTCCCTGCTTCGATCACCTTCTGGAACACTTTGGTGTTAAGTGTGATCCCATTGCTCACTCCCCCAAAATCAGCAATGGATTGGAATGACTTTGAGATTTGAGCATCATGGTTTCGTTGCCAGTATTTCTCCTGCAGAAGGAAAAACCAGAAAAGTAAAGAAAACTGTTAAGTTCAGAGCATAAGAAACTGAAAACTTTCAATGGGATTCTCAGGAGCAAAGACACCACACAGTATCACAAAAATCAAATCAGGAAAAGAAGGAAAATAGCAAGAAAAGATGCCAAGAGTTGAATCATTTGAGAAGAAGAAAAGGAAGAAAGCACAAACAAATGACACAAATTGTACCAGGACGTGGCTCGTTCCAGCAGCGTTGACACAGCGCCTTAGATTTGGATCGCGAATCAGCAGCAGCCGCAGGGGCTCTCTCGCCATCTCATAAGCCCTAGAAAAACATTACAAAACAAAACCAATTCGCTCGACAGACCACGGGCGCAGTCATAGTCAACACCTTGCATGCAACACGCATTGCTGTGCCTTCCTCTCCCAACCCATGCAGTTTGGCTGCCTCCCATTGGCCAGGAGCAAACATCAGCGGGATTATTCGCTGGGGCATGGTCAAATAAATAACCTCTTTACAGTTACCCCCCATCAGACGGCTGCCATTGGCTGGATCTGGCAGCCCAGAAAGTTTGGCAACTTTCTTGCCTCACTCGGAGCCAATGCACACTGGAGCTGTGGTGGTCTCCCACTGGCCAGGGATAACATCAGAAAAATTTCTCGCGCAACCATGGCTACCGACCCTGGCCCGGGCCTGGGATCCAATGGCCTGTGGGCCTCCCTGCTATCACTTTATATGTATAGATTTTTCACAGTATCTTTCCATGATAATGGTTGATGTTGATTTCCATAACCATTCTGGGAATACCTGCTATACCAATGGCCTTCCAGATTTCCACTGCAATCAGAGATCAATGTCATTGTCAACCACCAAGATTGCTACTTTCTCTTGTTTGGTCTTGAGGCTCACACCTGAAGCCACACAAGTGGATTTTCAGGTTTTACAGCCACTATATATTGGAATTACAACATTTATGGCCAGATGATTTGCTTGCTCAATAGGACTGGTCTTCTAGTGTTGGATGGTGCAAGCATTAATGAATTCTTGAGGCATCTACACAAAATGGAAATTGCAATAAAGAAATGATGGGTGGACTAGGTGGGTGAGGTGTGGTTGATTGCAGGTGGGCATGGCTGGCAGGTGGGTGAAATGGCATGGTAGGCTAGGACTGGGTTGGAGAGGTGGCATGCAAAGCAATGAGATGTAGCAAGTTGGTGATACAGCAAAACACATCAATCAATATGATGTTAAGATATATTAGGGTAAGGAACTTAATTTACCCTAGGGCTCACAGTGGAGAGGGGAGTTTTTGAGGTAGCTTGAGGGTGGTTGGGTGGTGAGGAACCTCAAAAAGAGGCATAACATAGTCTAGGGAGAATAAACCTTTGTTTTTAGCACTAGGTCATAACAAATATAAATATTAGTTTGGTGCTAAGGATGAAATTGATAATTTATGATAGGGTTACTTTATAAAATGATTTATCATTTGATGAGGACATCAAACTTCATTTAAGGGTGGTGGAGTTGTGAGACACAAATTCCTAAGCCCTAAAGTGCAACTAAGAGTGTGTCACATGGTAGTGGTCGAAGCAGGAGTCCAATGAGCATAACATGTTTGGATCAAAAGTTTTGACTTGAAAATTTGAGAGCGGGAGTGGAACTCCCAACAATGTGCTCAAGGAACAAGCACGAAGAGATCAATAAATGAGTATCTAGAAAGAGATACAAGAAGGATTAACACATAACAAGTGTCATGATAGGTGAAAGTGTCAGGACCAAATCTGAGAAGGAGTTCGAGAAAGGATCCAAGATAGAGTCTAAGATGGAGTTTGAGAAAGAGTCTAAAATAGAGTCCGAGATATATCCAAGATGGAATCTAAGGAGTTCAAGATGGAGTCCAGATGGAGATTGAGATCAAGTCCAAGATGGAGTCCGAGTAGAGAGAGTGTGGGGGTTAGACTTTAGTGGAATTAATTTGTCCAAGAAAGGCTAATATAACCCAGAAAGGTTACACCCACATAATACCATTGAGGAGTCCAAATCTAAAGTGAACATAGATGGACAAGTGGGGTAACTTGGTGAAGCAATCAAGAGTTGCCTTTAGCTCCACTAGGAGATCGGATAATTGACACTCCCAATCCAAGTATGGTTGACACTACCTACTTGGATATTTGGTGTGGCTCATTAGAATCTCACTCTAGCCACATGGCTAGGGCACCCAGAGACAGAAGGTGGGGGGAGTACCTATGAGGCTCGTGTATGTTTTGACCAAGTGTAAAGACTATGGTTTTAGGACCAAGTGGTATGGTTATGACACTTTGATGGGTTATGGATTGGTTGTTAACGATTACATACTTGATTTCAACTATATAAACGATGAATGCAAAGTAAGTTGTAAAGCTCTTTTCTCAAGAAGTAGTATGGGTTCATGAACTTCTCAAAGGCTAGGTAGTTTTTGAGCTGAGCTCAAGTCAATGAAAGCCAATATAATCCATCAAATACAAAATTTAATGTTCAAATGATTGGTTTGGGGCAAACCAACAATTCTATTCAAAACTTAAGACATATTTTCAGTCCAAGAAAAAGATAAATAATATAAAACCAATAAGAAAATAAATATCATAAGTCAAAGAAGAAACTCTATAATACCTCTAAAAATTTTGACTAAAAAGAAAATTAAACTTAGTCTTCCTCGACATCCACATCCATAAAAGGAGGAGTTTGTATAGTATTATACTCTCTAATTGTGGGCTTTTATTATATATGAGCTTGTGCCATTGCTTCTGCATAATATGGCAAATTATAACCCACGTCATCGATCCACCTAATATACACAACCATGATGGAATTACTATCATGAGAAATTTATACTTTATTATCACCTGTTAGGAAATGTCCCAAGAACACCTTCAAATGCACTCTCCTTCTCTAGTGCAAAAACTGCATAGCCAGTCTCTTTAACTGCTAGCACCATCGAACCAAAACCCACTGTAACATCAAGCAAAATCCTCTTAGGAGGATAAAACAACTCTAGGAGGATTTACATGGCCTTTGGTGAACAGTGTTGATAGCTAGGAAACTCTATATGATAGTCCTTGTTGATGATTTTTAGGATGATATCTATTGAGCTATCATATCCTAGCAATGCCAAACATGTACGCTCATCAGCTTGTGTATTACTGTGATAGCAAGAGTAGCAGTAGAGAGCATGGTAGTTCCATGCTAAAACCTACAATGAAAAGAGGCAATCAATTTAAGATATGGAAAAATAAGGAAATGCAAACCTTTTGGATTCGGCCATCTACTCCTTTTGTTTCAACTAGGATATTTGAGAATAGGCAGCCTGATGCAAACTCAGCCAATCTAGAGTCATCATTCTCTGCCATCGTTGCAAGAAGACCTCCCTAAAATAAAGAACAGGGATGAATGACTAGCATAATGCCCTTATATCGCAACACCTTGGATGCCACATCCACCACTTAAGAAATATGGTTTGGTTGAAGGATGTTCTAGGATGGAGTGTCGCCTTGTAAAGGTGGTAACCCATCAGGCAAGTCGAAGAATGCGAGGTCAATGCTGAAGGTATTGTTCATTCCCAATCCTCGCATCCATTTATAGAACATAAAAAACTCTCAGCTCACGTTGTTGGAAAGCTAAAAGTAGTCCCCAATAACTATTTCCACATTGCCAACACTTCCCATAGGAGAAAGGGGGTGAACCTAAATAGTGTTCAAAATTGGGAAATATTAAAGTTAATACATTTTTTTTTTCATTCCTGTTTATGTGAAGCTAATGAAGATAACTCTTGGAGGTCATCCTTTGTAGTAGTGGGGAGGGATGGAAAGAATGCATTTGTATGTCGATGTATAGAGTTCTAATTGGTTTCTCCAACATCTACAACCAAATTACAATAAGCAAGGTCATTGGAAATTAAGTTCTTACTCTCTTGGACGTCCTTACTATAGAGCTGCCTTCGTACATTTCGAGCAATCGGGGCTAGACGAGTAGCAGTAGTAGGATCTAGGGAATGAGCAATTGCTATAGGATGAGATGGGATAGGAGAGTTTTTCACTTGTTCCTCTTCGGTCTGCTCAATATGAATCTCGTCCCTGTCCTAAGGCATCTCCACTCCCTTCAAAAGTGCCTTTACAATAAAGTAAAAATATAAGTTACTGCTAGGAAGTTTTACTCATCAAACCTAGATAACACTCAAGGTAGAGATCAAGTTCAAAAGGTGACAATGGCATTTGGCTCCACTACTTTAAGTACCATGGACAAAGTTCTCACTCCCACGTAGTGGGACAATAGAACTTTGCTTCATACATGCCAAACTTCTTCCCATCAGTTAAGAGCTTGAGAAAAACACTTGCTGTGTATATTGGAACACCTGGGCAATGATTTAAATACCT